GTCGAACGCTCAGATCGTTCAAATTGTGCTGCTCTAATCGTGCTTGAGGCGCCGCAGCACTTCCCGATGCTGATTGAAGCGCGTCCCCCATAGACTTTGCATGTAAACCTGATGCTCCTGATGCTGAAATCGAGTTTGGTGTGAACGCAGCATTAGGCTTGAGAGAACCCCTCTTGCTTTTGCTTCTAGTTCAAATCAAAGATACAATAGACAGCATTTGTGTAGATGCATCATTTGTTTCGAAGTACTGTTTTTGTTTTAAATACACTGCATTCTGTTTTATTCTATTCTAAAACAGGCAGAGAGCTAAGGAAGATAACATTGAAGCAACACAGTTTGCAAACTATTAACTACTCACTAAATGAAAGAAGTGGAAGATGTTAAGAAACACCACACAAGTCCATCAATCTGAGTAAAGTTCAATATAATTTACTACGAGAGCCAAAACAGCCTTTGAGACAGATCTACAGCTCTAACACAAAAAGAAATGAGCAAACAGAAACGCATATTAGGCCAGGTTCACTCAGCAGAGGTGCTATGCTACAAGGCACTTTCATAGTTAGAATGGGATGGGACATTTGTGAACAGCGATGACAAGACAGCCGGGAGAGCAACACACTATGGCAGGTTGAAAATACCTTGGTTCCCTGCCAGTATGCCCAAATTACTGTCACAGCATGTTTATTCCGCACTTCTTGTTTTAGACGTCTTAGCTCCATCCGAGCCTGGTGGCATGTGGTGGGCGCGAGGCAGGACAGGTTGAAGGTGTGTGGAGGGATAAATTGAGGGGTGAAGTTGAAAGAGAGCAACAGGGAAGAAAAAAAATATAAGTGGAATAAGTGCGATCATCAAAAGATACAGGATTATAGTAAGGTAAAAAAAAAAGGCAGAAAAAGCAGTTTATAGATTAAAATCTTAGCAATAGTGTGAAGTCAGTAAGCAAGAATGCTGCATACAATGAAAGTAAAGTGTTAGCCACAGTTTGAGTTCTGAAAATCAGTCCTCTCCATGAAAAACCAGGTGGATGCTCACAATGCCTTTCTTTTGTACTTGAGGTTTTATCGTACCTGTGTSCCATGCCAGTAAGCTGCAATGGTGGTCACTGCCTCTTCACATCTCTTCTCATGCTTGAGCTTTCTAAGGAGTTTACGGGCCTAATGGGGAGAGAGAAAAAATGTATTGCTGGTAAGAATTTATTTTTAATAAACTTTATTCTGCAAACCCTTACAAATGGTGTTGTTCCTTCCTTGTTTAAACARCCATTATAATTCCTACACTTAAAAATCTTTTCTATTAAAAAAAAGTTACATTTTAGTTTTAAAGACACTTGCTGAACAAAACCATTTTAACAATTCTAGGTTGGTTTCTGCTAATTTTTACAGCACAACAGCCTTAAAGATTYCCAATGACCTCATGATTGCTGAATCTGCACTATTAACGCTCCTCATCCTCCTTGATCTTGCTGTGGCCTTCATCTCCAATAGCACCCTTCAACTGGTTCAAATAAAATCTCTTTAGCCATATTAAACAAATTCAGATCAAAAACATAAATTTAAGTCATTACTAGCCTATATTGGTGTTCCTCAAGGGTGTGTGTTTGAGCCATGTTTGTTCATTATACATCATTTCTCCTTGTTAAATTTTCTAAATAATGTAACCAAATGTGTTTCTTTGCAGATGTCACTACCAGCCTTTAACCTTCCCACATCCTCAGATCATCATTAATCTCTTCACTCTTCCAGCCACCTACCAGACAAGGTGGAGATTCAGTCAGTCTGTATGCAAACTCTTGAACTTTTATTGTATTTGCAACACTGAATATAGTTTTGTATTATGCTTAAAAACATTTTGAAAGCTTGTAGATGCCATTAGACTTGATCAATATGTTTGATAACTTCGTGTATTATTAACTTTCTCTTGATTCAATTGTTCTACTTCTGCTTTATTTTATAACAGCCTGTGTGTTCTGAAAGGTGCTATAAATGAATATTATTATTAAAGAAAATCAATATCTCCATACCTGCCACCCTCTGGCATAGGACTGAACCACAGTTGTAGCGCTCTTGATCTTCTGGTACTTCTTTTGTTGCTGTTAGATGGGGAAAAACGGGAAACTTTTGTTCAACAAACCTTTTAAGATACAGTACCCAAACATGCATGTTGAGTTTTGAGCACAGTTACAAAAATATGCTCACCGCATATCGGCGATACCATGCTGCTACCACGATCTGGCTCTTCTTCAGCAGAAGGAACTGACTGCGRCACTTCCAGCCTCTGTAGATCTTCTGAATCAGAGTTGCAAGGTCCTCTAGGCACTGCTTCCTTTTTTCCTCCAAGAAAAAGAGCTACACAAAAGAACACAACTCAATGCAGAAGCAGCACATTTACACAACGTGACGTCTGTTGTAAAAATCCATGTTTCTTTTGGAGATAAAGGTGCCTATTCAATCAATACACACTGCAACTTCAAGGAAATGCCAGTTCARCAAATCAATTCATTTACAGTACTCCAACCTGTYTGGTAGCACCATGTCTAGTTTTCTGACAWGAAATTCTCAGAACACCAGTAATTAGGTGTGTCTACACTGATTAATGAGCAACAATAATATCTGGAAACCAGGACTAAAATCTGCTCTACTCTATGGGATTCTGCAGCTGCAGATTTGTGAAAGAGATAAGCTGATCRGATGGAGCAAAAGCAATTAGAGCAGGGGGAAAAAAATCTCGGTGTGAGATCATGTTATTTTAAAGCTCTTGTTTGGTCTTTTGCTGGCGGGAGAGAACACACATTTAAATGCTGCAGGCTTAAGTAGTGGAGGGGCCGGCATGCACGGAGCAACTCATTTCCCATGTTYTATCTTTAAGTGAAACCATGTGTTTTTAGAGTAGTGGTTGCATGCTAATTGCTGAAACGGGGGGACTCCAAGTGCAGCCCACCCTGCTTTACAAACATCTTACTGTGAGAAAACAAGCCAGTTGTGCACACAGGACRCAACTTTTAGACTTTGAAACGGAGCTTAATCTAGTCAAATACCAAGCAGATGTGAAAGTTTGGGGGGGGACAAAGATTAAGCAGGTAGGCAGAAAGTATTTATCTTAAAATTTATCTGTACCGTTCTTGGGTTCCTGATGAAGATCTTTGAGCGACCATATGCAAACTCTTCTGCTGGAACCTGCAGGTCAGTTAATAGCACCTCAACACCCTCTCTGCAGGAGACCAAARGAGTCAAGTAAGTCATCTGAAGCACATTTAGCAGGTGGTCCAAAAAAAGGTTTTTCTGAGATTTTCAATGTGGAAATTAAATGGCAACTTTAAAAACGACGAGTTTAAAAAGAGACAGAAAACAACATCGTCAGAGAAGTATGAGCGGAGAGACAAAGGCTATAATCTTACAAAGTGCTCAGAGACGGCTGAAAAACAAGATGCCAACATTTGGCAGGGCAGATAGGAATCAGAGATTCTGCTAGCACGGTGGATGAATCAGCCGAGTCTGGCTGATATGGAAAGGACGAGACAGATAAGGATGAAACGTCTCGACATGTGGAGTTCAGAGAGGGAATGGATCATTTCTGCCAAACTAACAGCTGGTATGTGACACGGCTGCTGCTGGTTTTGAGAGAACATTACAAGCTTTTTTTTTTTTAATGGTGTGAAGACATCCAAAACAAATTTGTTTGC